CTCCCTCCCTCCCTCCCTCCTTTCCTTCCTTCCTTCCTTCCTCCCTCCCTTCCTCCCTTCCTCCCTTCCTCCCTCCCTTCCTCCCTTCCTCCCTTCCTTCCCCCCTCCCCCAAGACAGGGTTTGTGTAACAGCCCTGGCTGTCTGGGAACTTCTTTTGTAGACCAGGCTGGCCTCGAACTCACAGGGATCCTCCTGCCTCTGCCTCCCGAGTGCTGGGATTAAAGGTGTGAGCCATCACCACCCGGCTCCAGTATCGTTTCTTCTCACCAATGTTGGCCAGAAGCTGAGCTTGTTTATGCAGGCCTGTGATCCCAGCTGCTCAGGATTCTGAGGCAGGGCAATCACGAGTTCAAAGCCAGCCTGGGCTGTGAAGTGAATTCAAGGCTAGCCTGGGTAACTTAGCAAAACTCAGGCTCAAAAACTGAAAAGAAGGCTGGGTGGGGGGTGTGGCTCAGTGGTAGAGAACTGGTCTAACACGGGCTCCTGGATTTCATTCCCAGGACTGAAAACTGAAGAAAACAAAGGCAAATCTGGCCAAAACTCTGATCAGAACAAGTCTCTGGAACTCAGTCCTAGGAACTCTAGTCAGCGCAGCACACCACATCAGCACTGCCCCCTCAGAGGAGGAACCCGAGTGGTGAGTCAGGGCTCTTCGGCGAGAACACCTACCATACAGCAACTCTGCGTGATTTTCTGGCCACAGAGGGCAGTTATCTGCTACTGTCTGTCTACAAACGAGAGGGATGAAATTTTGGGATTTCGCCAGTTTCCACGGCCACAATGATAAGACAGGAGAAACGACCGTTTCCAAGTCTATGGTACTTATTCTGCGTTCCGTTGACTATAGCTTGACCCACAGCAGGGCAGCTTGCTAAGCACGGAAGAAGGAAGCTGAAAATGCATCTCCTCGGTCCTGGGTTTGAGTCCGAGAATGCGAGCGTAGCATCTTAACTGGTTGATTTGTTCCTGGAAGCACGTATCTGAGGGACTGACCAAGAACCTCGTGGAAAGCCACACACGTAACACACACACACAAGGTAGACGTTACAAAAGTACAGAAAACCAACAGAACTGGGCTCTGCAAGAATCAGCTTAGAGCCATGGTTCTCAACCTTCCCAGCGCTGTGACCCTTCAATACAGTCCCTCAGGCTGTGGTGACCCCCACCATAAAACTGCTTCATTGCGACTTCATGACCGTACTTTTGTGACTGTCAGGAATCACAATGTTCATATCTGACATGCAGGCTATCTGATATGTGACCCCTGTGAAAGGTCCTGCCACCCCCAAAGAGGTCTGAGAACTGCTGACTTGAGAGTACAGCACAGACCCTGAGCTCACCACACATGTCAGCACTAACCTGAAGAACTTCCGCGAAAGCGAGCACGCAGAGTCCCTTACCCTCTGTAGGTCTCTGGGCAACCCAAGCCCCACGCGGTCCAGCTGTCCTCCGGTCTCTCAATTCAGCATCCTCGGAGCCATTTCTAGCTGTCAGCCGCCTCCCAGTAACCTACAGACTGGTTTCGGTCTTCACGTCTGCAGACCCTGAAGGACTCCCTCCCCACCTCCTTCCATCCACTTCGGCCTGTTTGGGGAGACACAGTCACCCAAACTGCAGGGAGGTGTTCAGGACTGTCTAGGGAGCAGACAGGCTGAAGACCGAGTGAACCTGTCTTCCTGGCCTCAGCTCGAGGCTACGAGGCAGGAGGGACATCCTGCTGCGGCGGCTTCATATTTACTGAGAGCTCACGAAGCTTTAATATACGCGAGAACAAAATGATGGCATGATCTTTAGCCTCTGGGGGACTGGGCTGTCTTCATTAAAAGCTACAGCTCCGACTTCCCCCAGAAGCAGAGCAACAGTTAAGGAACATCACACTGGCAGTGATTGGCTGGTGCGGCTGCACTCAGCAAGTGAATTTCCCCAGCAAGATGGAGAGGCACTCCCTGTTTTAGATCCCCAAAGCCCGATGCAGCACCACTTACACAGTTATTATACTTTATTACCATTCACTGGCTTGCTGAGTCCATAACCGTGTGTGTGTGTGTGTGTGTGTGTGTGTGTGTGTGTGTGTGTGTGTGTGTGTGTACGCAGCCTACTATGTGTTAGGGCACAAATCAAGTGCTGATAGCTGTTGGTAGGATGAACAAATGGAATCGCAGCCTGTGAGGATGCACAGAGTATGTGCGTGTGTAGGGGGCATACGTGTAGGATTAAAAAAAAAAAGGTGTTGCTGGAGCTAAATTTTGAAGATGAGTGGGAGTTAACCCAGTGGATGAGAAAAAAAAAAAGCATTCCAGGAAGAGGTAAAAACACACGCCAAGCATGGAGCTATATGGGGACTCCATCATGACTTAGAGCTATGCAGCCAGCTTGGGTGCTGGATAGAAATAGGCAAGGAAATCAGCATTCACATAGGAATTAGCATCAGCTCAAAGAACTGGTTTGAGGTAGTATGCTTAAAATATTTGTTTAAAAGGGAATATTCATTTGAATTCAGGGAAGGGGGAGAGTAAGGGAGGGGAGCTTGGCCAGGATGATGAGAGACCGTCCTGATAAACCCCAGGGCTGAGCCGTGAGTGCACTGGGTGACCTTTATTTCCAAGCTTTCCAACATGCAACTCTTTCCCTCAACCTAAGATCTGGCAGGTAGTAATTGCAGTAATCACCGGGGCTTTATCTACAAGGAGGCATAAGCTTAAAAAACAAACACAGACACGAAAAAGAGGGCGAGCCAGTCCTCTCACGGACTCTTTCAGTGAGAGGACCACAGTAACCGGAGATGTGTTCAAAATCAGAGATCATAATATGTAAAGGGCCTTGTAACCTGTAACATACTATCCAAGCATATGACTAGCGGAGGAAGTGTGTGTGTGACCAGTTCGCTCAAAACACATGGGCCAAAGTAACTTTGGCAGGGGGGTTGGAATGTGGCTGCTTGTAGAAACACATCTTAGTTGTCGGTGACACCTGAGAAAATGACACACTGTCCACTGACTGCCATACATAGCCTGTAAAGCTGTATTTTCCCTAATACTTTTCCTGCACTTTATACTAATAGTGAACGAGTGAGGAAATGCAGACCGATTCTATATGCAAACTCCTCAAGGACAAGAGCTTTCCTCTTTACATGGCATCGCGCTGGCCAGTTGGCAGCACTTAGGATGTGTGCAGACCTCCGAGGGGATTGCTGGAAGGTGGGTGGAGAGTGGAGAGATGCTATAATGGAACCAATAATCATGTCTCCAGATGGACACTGACAGTCCAAGCTTCTTGGTCCAAAGCTGGTAGAGCAATTCCAGTCAGAGCTCAGTCATTAAGGTTGAAGGATCGAGAAGATAATGATCTTCCCATCAGATATGAATAAGTAAATCTGGGGGGTGAAGAAGCATTGCCAGAGAGGCGTGTGGGACTGATAGGCAATGGATATTTTAGCTGAAGAGACGGGAGACTATTAGCTTAGATATGAACCACTCAGGACCAGGTGTACTGGGAGAAAACAGGAACATGGGAAATGGACCTGGGGAGGTTTATTATCCGTGTTCCAAGAAAAGGAAGCACTTAGAAAATACATGGTTAATGCTGGAAGAGAAAAGTGGTTAGAGTGTGGTCGGAGAACCTATGAAGAGCCAAGGCTGAGAAATCCACATCCACTTGTGCTTACTCAGGTGGGGAAGGGGCATTCTCCTCCACTTTCCTTTGGAACGAAGCAGTTTTGAGAAGATTAGGCCGCCTGGTAACACCGTCACACACATTCTACTCGTGCAGTGCTGAGGCACTATTCTGACAGATGATAATGAGATGTAATGTTTTGAGATGTAATGTTGACTCAATATTAGACCTCAGGAGATGGTAGTGAGAATCCAAGATCTGGGCAGCATTTGGATCAAGCAAGTGATTTTTCCCAAGGTTACCAGGGAGTGTGATACTCAGAGCCCTTGATGAAAAGATCAGTTTAGTAACAACAACAATAATATAATAATAACACTCCAACAAGAACTATCTGAGAGCCTTTTGCCCCAGCACTCAGGAGACAGAGACAGGCAGATCTCTGAGTTTGAGGCCAGCCTGGTCTACAGAACAAGTTCCAGGACTACACTGAGAAACTCTGTCTTGAAAACAAAAACAAAAACAAAAACAAACAAACAAATAAGGAACTATCAGAATTAGGACAAACTCCACCATATTTGCAGGCTTGGTCTCAGTTTTCTCTTTCAACAATATATGTGTTTACTTTGGTCAGATGCAGTAACAAGAGGGTTTAAGCTGAGAGGGGATTAAACAAATGTATAACAGAGAGGTGCTCCCCCCCCAATATGAACCTGTCAGAATTTGCTTGTTGAGCTACGCATGGAGGCACCCCAACCATTACATCCTTAAAGGAGCCAAGTCGTTAAGGAAAAGCCCAGCTAGCAACTGGTAAGTTAGAGTACTCGGTTTCCTCAACAGCATGGTCTCTTTTCTCACTATGTCATCTCAGAAGCCCAAAGGAGCATTTTTTTTTTCTTTTTATCTTTTGTTTTTGAGACAGGGCCTAGAACTTGCTATGTAGCCCAAGCTGGCCTTGAACTTGCGATTTGCCTGCCTCCACCTCCCAAGTGTCAGGATAATAGACATAGGTTACCACAGCCAGTGTTTTCTTGTTTGTTTATTTGGTTTTGGTTTTCTGAGACAGTTTTCCTTGTAGCCCAGGCTGGCGTTCAACTTGTGGCAATCCCCCTGCCTCAGTCTCAAAGTAGGTATATACGTTTTCAAAGAAACCTAGGACCGAGCCTGACTATATGATGGACCTCTGCTCTGACGTGGCCACTTCTCGCTGGAGCCCAGCTCTAGGAGGCTGGTTTTATCAAAGGAGGACGCTCCCAGGTTTGGCTGTGCAGGAGGAGTACAAAGATGAGCAGGGACACTCCAGAATGGCTCTGCGGTAAATTCCATGGCTTGGCCCCTTCACCACTCCACTTTTGGATAAGAAGCCAGAATCTATCTTTGGGCCCAAAGTTAAACCCTTAGGATTCAGCTGAAATGAAAGTGTTGAGGGGGCAGACTCAGGCTTCCCCCCCAGACAACAGATTACCAATAAGCCTTTCTTGGCTCGCATCTTTCCCATGCTCCTGCCTCTCTCGCACAGAGGAACTGTTCGGCAAAGTGTCTTGAGTGGTATTTATGGATTAGGGTCCACTGGTGCACACAGAGGGCCACAAGGGAAGTGTGGATGACTCTTAGAAGTGACAGTGTCTTCCTCAAGATCCTGCAGCGGGGAAGGTGGCCCCAGGAGACTCCACTGTGGGTCCCTCTGGTTCTCCCAAGCAAGTCCTGACAATCTGGGGGTTAAGTGGACAACTGCTCCCACGGTCCCGTGTTCAGTTAATCCGTCCTCATCGGTGTAGGCATCCCATTTACTGAGCATATGCCAATGCAAAGCCCCAAGCTTGACACTTCAACGGAACTTAGTAACAACCACCCACCCTTGCTTCTGCCCCTCTTTGGTACTTTTCTCCGAGTTAAATTAGAAGAACAGACTTCATCATGCTAACGTTTGTGATCTAACGTTAGCAAAGTGCTAAAGCCTGCGTCACAAATGCCTAATGTTCAAATGGGGCAATTTTATGAAGCTGTTGTTAAGAATTACATAAGATGTTTAAACATCTAGCACCGTGCCTGGCACAGGGGTGCTCAAAAATCCTCTCCTCTCTCTTATTCCTCCCTCCAGAAACTTGGTCTCACTGCTTTGGGTAGTCAGACTCAAGAGCTCAGATCTCCTGTCTTTGATCTGGAGGCCTCACTGGTCCTGGTACCCCTTGGGCCCTGTGCTCTTAGAAGCAGTTTTCATCTCCTCTAAAGTCCAGCTTGAAGCCAACGGGGCTCTCTATCATACAGAAGGGAACTTCTCATGGGGGCAGGGTGGGAACTGGAATGAACAAAGGCCACGGCCCCACAGTCCCCACTCTTTTCCACTATGTTGAGGGGGTGCAAGCGAGGGCATCCTGAGCCCCATAGGAGGTCAGTGCCAAAGTCCTTGGAGCTACGATGCCACAAATGGATCCCATTTTTCCAGGCAAAGGTTCCTTCTGGGCATCTCTGGAGCACAGGCTAAGATCACCTGGGGTTCACCAACAGCACCGGGAAGGTCCCTGGGGTCCCCAGATGGTCTCCCGTGGAGCCAAGTCCAGAGACTACCTTGATGCCACTCCACTTACACAGAAGGCCTCCCTGGGGCCCTGGGGAGGATGCCCTCCACGCTGGGGCTGGACAAGGCAAAAAGTGCAGGGCGCCCTGGGCGTCTCCCTTCACATCGCCCCACGGACTCCCTCAGGGGTAGAGGCGGCGGTCACTGGGGTGCATCCGTTTGCACAGGGCCCCCCTGGGGGCGGCTCCCACACCAGCATCCAAGTCCGGGAGGACCGTCCGGGAGCGCAGACCCGCCCCTCAGGGTGACAGGCCGGGTCCCACCGCCCCCGCCCTCGCTTACCGGGACAGTCCGCGTGCGGGACGCGGGTCCGAGGCCGGCTGACTCTTAACGCCGCGGGCCCGCGCTGCCCACGGCCGCTCCGGAGCCGACGTGCTGGGCCGAGCTCCGGGAGCGG